CCCGTGCACCCCTCTCTTATACACATCTAGATGTGGGGCGTGATAGGGTCGGGATGGGCAGGAGGGTCGGGATGGGTTGAGAGGTTGGGATGGGCTAGACTCCGCGGGAGGTTCGGGATGGGCGGGAGGGTCGGGAGGGGCGGGATGGTAGGATAGGGTCGGGCTGATCTATCTATCTATCTATCTATCTATCTATCTATCTATCTATCTATCTATCTATTTATCTATCTATCGAAGATGATATCGACGTGTCGGGCTGATCTTTCGGGACGAAGAAGGATACTATCCAATCCCGGTGAAGACGACGACGACGACGATGAAGAAGAAGATGATGAAGATAAGGTGGGGAAGAAGAAGAAGAAAATAAGGTGGGAAGAAGAAGAATAAGAAAAAGATTTGACGGGGAAGAAGGGGGGGAGGAGGAAGAAGAGGAGGACGAGGACTTAGTGTGGAGGAGGAAGCAGGGTAGGAGGAGGAATAAGAGGAGGAGGACTTGGTATGGAGGAGGAAGAAGGGGAGGAGAAGGAAGAAGGGGAGGAGGAGGAAAAAGAGGAGGACGATGACCTGGTGTGGAGGAGGAGGAAGGGCAGGAGGAGGAGGAGGACTTGGTGTGCCACTCAAACAACCAGTTGCAGTAAGCGTCGTTTTGCTGTAATTGATTACAGCAAGCGGTCGCTGTAAGCAGTTACAGCAAACACTCGTTGTAAGCTTGTAGGCTGTAACCAATTACTGCGACCGGTTGCGGCAACCAACTGGTTGTTCAGTCCGGTTACAACAACCGTTTACATTAAGAGGTTGCTGTAACCGGCTACAACAAAAGGTTGCTAGAACCGGTTACAACAAACGGTTGCTGTAACCATTTGCTGTTACCGGTTACAGCAACCCTTTACATCAACTATTTGCTGTACCGGTTACAGCAAATAGTTGATGTAAACGGTTGCTGTAACCGGTTGCTGTAACCGGTTACAACAAGTGGTTACAACAAGTGGTTACAACAACCGTTTGCTGTAACCGGTTCTAGCAAGCTTTTGCTTTAACCGGTTACAGCAAAAGGTTGCTAGAACCGCTTACAGCAAACGGTTGACGTAAATCGTTGCTGTAACCGGTTACAACAACTGTTTACATCAACTATTTGCTGTAACCGGTACAACAAATAGTTGATGTAAAGGGTTGTTGTAACCGGTTACAACAAATGGTTACAACAACCGTTTGTTGTAACCGGTTCTAGCAACCTTTTGCTGTAACCGGTTGCAGCAAAAGCTTGCTGTAACCGGTTGCAGCAAAAGCTTGCTAGAACCGGTTACAGCAAACGGTTGATGTAAATGGTTGCTGTAACCGGTTACAACTTTGTTTGTTGTGGCTGGTTGTTGTGACCAGTTTCTGTAACTGGTTGCAGGAAACGGTTGCTGCGACCAGTTCTTGCTACCGGCTGCTTCTACCGGTTGCTGATACCGGTCAGTACAAGAAGAAGAAGAAACCTGGTTGTGGGACTATAACCGTAGATGCAGTGTTTTTAACTTTTGTCGTTCCCGTGGTTTCTCTCCTTGCAGCAACTGATCGCTATTGTTCGTCATCTTCAACGTCTTCGACAGTCCCACTTCCAAGTACGTCATGGCCAGTTCAAGCAAGGCTAGCATTGCAGCCAAGGGCAAGTCCCAGTCCAAACACCCTGTGTTTGTGGCCCAGCCAAAGCATAAGTAGAAAACTTTGTAAAACGAGAAGACCGTGTACAAGTGGATTGAGCAAGGGCAGGAGGCAGACCCAAAAGGATATGGGCAGTACTGGGTGAGGTGCAGCTTGTGCAACCAGTTGTTCACAGCATCGAAGTCACGTGCGGTGCTGCATTTCCTGAAGAAGAGAGCAACATGTCCTTACCGCACGGGGGAGATTCTCCATCTTTTGCCGTTGGATGGAGCTTACATTAAAGACGGCGCTGCAGCAACACAGACAATGCTTCATAAGTACGGAATGGACAATGGCATTGTCGAGGACTGCGGCTTGGAACTGGAGGCAGTGCGTCAGGCAGCAACGGAGTTGGAGCAGCATATTATCCCACCGCCTGCACCGAGGAGGGAGTCTGTTGTCAATATTGACACCACCCAACAAAATGAGCCTGCCGATCCAGATGTGGTGGTGGGTGATGAGATGCCCCCTGGTCTGTCAGGTCAGGCATCCACAAAGGCATCGAAATCGGGGAAGACAACACAGACTTCCATTAGGAAGTGGACAGAGAACACCACCCAAAAGAGACTTGATATCGCATGGGCGGAGGCATTGTACAGGGCGGGCGTGTCATTCAACTTCATCCGGATGGACAAGACCAAGGAGCTTCATGACATGTACATGGAGTTGGCGGCCGCAATGCACGAATGGACTTACCTGCCTTTGAAACCATCCCGACACTGGTTTTGAACATTGTGGATGACAGTGTTCGGGCAGAGGTGCAGCCGCTTATGGACAAGTGGGACATCAGCGGTTGCACTCTCATCACTGATGGGACCCAAGAGAGAAAGTCGAGGGCTGTGTTGAACTTTGTAGCGGATGGAGAGAGCGGGGTTGTGGTCATCAAGGTGGTGGATGTCTCTGATGGGAAGAAAAACGTGAGAGCGTTGGCGAAGTTATGGGAAGAGGTGATAAGGGAGATCGGTGCTCATAGGGTCAATGAAATCTGCACTTACAATGCATCAATGATCAAGCGAGCCGCAAAACTCTTATCCATGAGGACCGACAAAGTCATTGCGAAGATTCCTTGGATCCCGTGTGCTGCCCACACCCTGAGCTTGCTACTGAAAGACATATCCAACATCCCATGGATCAAGACGGTGTGGAAGAAGGGAAAAAATTTGGTGAAGTTCATCAAGAATCACCAAAGCATGCTCGGGTTGCTGAGTCGGTGTTCCATGGGAGACACGAAGGTGCTTGTCATGCCAACGAAGGTCAGATTCGCGTCTGTTTACCAGATGTTGATCTGTATCTGGGACAAAAGATATGTGTTGAAGCACATGATGGACAACGACTGGTTGGACATCTATTGGAGCAGCCGGAAAGACAGGGAGGATGCAGAGGATATCTTCGCTCATGTGAAATGTGACATCTGGTGGTAGAAGGTGGACACCGTTCTCTCCATCATGAAACCCATATTCGACCTGCCGCGAATGATGGACAGTGATGGGGTGACACCTTCACAGCTGTGGGGCTTCGACGACCTCCTCAACAAGCGGATGCAGACCATGGCAGGTGTGACCAGCGAGCATCACCATGAGATAATGAAGCTGGTCGTCGATCGTTGCCAGATGGTTGCTGAACAAGGACTCCCCGCTCGCGCACAACACATTGAAGTTCTTCTTGACACAGTTGGGGGGAAATCTTGGGGCGATTTGGACTCTCACGAGGAAGTGTGGAACAACCTGTGGACATTTCATTGCCAACCACAGAAGGAGAAGATGAAGGATGAAGACTTGTGGAATCGGTTCGCTGTTGCCGACACATCTTTGGAGAGGAAGATAGCATCTCAATGGTGGGGCTTGTACGGGTCAAAGCACATCGAATTGCAGAAAATCGCAATGCGGGTGACGACAATGTGGAGCACGGCAATGCCATGCGAAAAGAATTGGTTGTCCTTGGACTTGGTCCACTCCAAACGGCGGAACAACTTGTCTAGTGAAAGTGTAGCCAAGTTGGTCTACATTCACTTGAACATGCAGTTGTTGCGGGTTCCTAGAAGCACGACTGACGGGTTCATTGACCTGTGGGCAACCTTCTTCGACGGGCCTGAGGCACCTCCGGTGGCGAACGATGCAGCCAAGGATCGCCGTAAAGACCTCCGGTGGCGAACGATGCAGCCAAGGATCGCCGTAAAGACCTCCGGTGGCGAACGATGCAGCCAAGGATCGCCGTAAAGTGGACAAGGAGGACGAGGCGGCGAGGGTTGCACGCCTGAAGAAAACTCCGAAAGGGAGGCTTCCCCCTGACTTGTTGAGCGATGATTCTGGGAGCAGTGAGAACGAGGACTTGGTGTGGTGTGACAAGGTGGAAAACAAGGTGCATCCAGCACGAGGTCGGGAGGGGAAATGGAAGACCGCTGTTGTTGAAGACGAGGAGGACGAGTGACATGATGATGATGATGATGACTCCGACTCGCATTTTGAAATTCGTCCATGCACGGGCTGCAGCGGACTCTGACACAGACGGAGGACGAGTCGACTTGTTGGACGTGCCTAAAGCAACGTGTCACTTGGACAGTGGCGATGACCTCATCGTGGAGGACAGTGAGGCACGCGATCGCAGGGTCAGAACGGAAGCACAATCTATGGCGGATAGGGATCGTGTAATGGTGCAAAAGCGTATGGCAGAGGAAAACTCGCGTCGACTAGCAATCCCTGCACACATGAGAACCGTGAAGGGGCATGTGCAGCAACAGGCCGAGCAACGACCACAGCAGCTGGTGCAGCAACCGGTGGAGCAGAATCCGCAGCGGGTGGTGCGGCAGCAGCAGGAGCAGCGCCCGCAGCAGAAGCAGCATGAGGTGGATCTAGGGCGGCAACAAGTGGAGCAGCAGTTGCAGCAGGACATGGAGCAGGAGCAGCAGAATATGAAGCAGCAGCAACAACAGCACAATGAAGAGCAGCAACAATTGCAGAACGAAGAGCAGCACCAACAACCGAGCCAACAGCTGGGCCAGGAGCAGCACACGGGTCAGCAGCAGCGGCAAACAGATCAACAACAACACAACGTCGAGCAGCAGCAACAACAGCAAACGGATCAGCAGCAACAGGACGTGGAGCAGCAGCAACAGCAGCAAGCGGAGCACTACCAGCAGCAGCAACAACAGCCAAGAACAACAGCAACAGCCGCAGCAGTGACCACTACGACAGACACTGCACTGGAAACTGTTGCTGGCTCCAACTTTTACTGCCCCCCACCGATGCCTCGCTTGGATGAGGCCATGGTCCATGACAATGTGGACATCAGCAGGGCTGGGAGGAAGAGAAAGGTTCCAGTGGAACCTCTCGTTGCGAAGCACGGGCGAGGGCGCCCAAGGAAGGGAGAGCGGAAGTCTGCTGCTGCAGTACCTGTTCTGCCCCCCATGGCCACAGAGGCCGGTAGGCCGAAACGCAAACAACGAAAGCAGGTGGTGGTCGAGGATGACCCCACCGGGGCAGAGGACAGCAGTGACGGCCAATGGGAGTCGGATTGCGACTGGCTGTGACTCTCATGCACATGTCTCATCTTCTTCTTCTTCTTCTTCTTCTTGTTCTTCTCCTTCTTCTTTCGTACAGACTCTACGGTGACTACACTGTGGTAGTTGTTTCTTAAACTTCACAAATGATGGATCCGCACGCATACAGAGATTGTTGAGAGAGAGAGAGAGAGAGAGAGAGAGAGAGAGAGAGAGAGAGAGAGAGAGAGAGAGAGAGAGAGAGAGAGA